ATCAGATTCTGAATCATGATTCAGAATCATCCAACCCAAACACTGATTCTGAATCATGATTCAGAATCATAATTCAGAATCACTATAAGTAAACACTGATTCTGAACTAAATTTTGAATCCATCTACAAAACGCACCTTAAGTGCCTCACTGTCCCAACTTTCTGTAATGTTTTCGCTCGTTCAAAGTCTTTCCATTCTAGTATGTCTTATAGCTTTTCTTGGTTCGTAGAACCACTTCTAGCAAGTCATTAACAAAAAGAGCACAAACCAATTCCAATATTTTATTACAAGGAAACTAATGATTTTGTCTTCCACAGAGTGATCTCAACTCTTGAATGCTCCATGATCTTAATTTATATTACGAATTTATGTTAAATATATACTGTTCATAATATAGTCTATTTTGACGTGTGAAATTCCGAATATGCACTTTCTGATTAATGACTTATATTTATATCCTTATAATCAAATCGAATTAATGATTTATGACTAAGAGTATTCTCAAAATTTCATAGGTTAAAATGAACAGTTTGCCTTTAGCATAAGTTGGTAATACAAAGGTATAATCCTTAGGTCCGTTTAATTCATTGATTCGAGTTTTTAATTCGAGTTGAGATGTGACTTTATGTGAGAGTTTTTTACTGTAACAAAAAAGTTAGATGTGACTATTTCTGAAAGCTTTTCACTGTAACAAAACTCGAATCGGTAAAATGAACGGGGTCCTTATTTGTTGCCTGCATGACTAGCTCAACCAGTTTTGAGGCCTTACTCACTTAAGTGCAAGTGGGAGATTGTTAGCGTTTATGCCTTTAGGAATAAATGTACCAATGTTCTTTGAGACATTTCGACTATTAATAAAGATTTATTTATTTCATATATCTATGTATTGTTCCCTTTATGTTCACATTAGTTGAATGTATGATAAGCAAACTGAAAGTCTGAGACTGTCATTCTAAATCTTTAGGTCATGCATGTAATGTGAAGAACATGCGGAAGACAAGAATCTAAAGATGATAGTC